TTTTTTATTGTGAGTAATGAAAAAGCGTCTAGCATAACGCGTTGTCAGTTGTTTCTGAATGCCTAAAAGTTTTTGGACGTTTATCTCATTTTGAAAATTCACTCGTTTAATGGAAGTTGATTTGCGCTTTTCCTTTAAGTCTCGATACGCCTTACGTATTATCAAGTGTAATTTGCATCGCCATGCAATACTGAGCTTTTTGATGTTCAAGTTGCGAGGTTCTAGTATGAAATAGATGTCGGTGGTTTATAATCGTCTTTTTACAGCGTTTACAATTCTTAGTTCAATTTTTTAGTCCTGAGGAAAGTTTTTAGCGCAATGTTGTGGTTTTTTTGTTTAAGTCCTTTGGCATTTGGAGTTTGAACATTGCCGGAGTAGCAATGCTTCTTCTGTTTTAACAAGAATAAGGTTGGGATTCATTTCTATTTTCATGGGACTTTTTGTAGCACTGTTGTGACATGGCCGTTGTCTGGGTTACGCAGTTTGAGTCATATGTGTGGTGCATTGTACACGAAGAAAAAAGTGGGCGGAAAAGATTTGGTTCGATGCATTGTCAGATTAGATGGAATTGATTCGATCGGAATTCCGAAGAATTATTGGGGTGCACTATTGAATGATAAGCAGTATTGAAAAGTTACATTCAGATGTTGAGTCATTTTTTGCGTAACTGTTGTATGTCACTTTGCTTTTACAGTTGTTTCTGTATGCGTTCTTATTTGTTTACGTTTTTGCTGATAAGGTTGGTCTGGTCGGGACAGTTACTTGTAAATATACAGGTGCTATCGTCATGCATACAACAAATTGATTGTTGAAGGAGAGGGTATTTTGTGTTTTGGACGGAGTGGTTCTTGTTGTTAAGCATGGGAATAGTCTTACTGGAATTGGTTGACACAGCGAGTTATTGGGAGTAAGAGGAGAAGGTTGGATGGGGGTTTGCTGCGTTATCGCTGATGTTATGTTGAGTGACGTGTTCAGTTGTGGTGGCGTTACATACTTCTCCATATTGGGAACTTTTACAGAGGTACCATAAGTCGCGTCTTCAATATCGATCATTATTGGTGAGGAGGACTGAGGTCGAATGATAGTAACGGTTTTTTCTCTTGGGGTTTCGTAAGTTTGTTGTAATTTCTGGATGCTTTGCGGGTCTGGAGAGTAGACTGTTTTACTGCGTATTTGACGATAAAGTTTGGTTTTGTTTTAATAAGGCTGTTGCAGTAGAAGATAGCTTTTTTTGCTGTTCGTCTGTCGTCACTTCATATTTTTCGTGTATTTTATATCGTCATAAACTTCCTAGAGGCTGAAAGCACGTCACTTCACGGTCGTCTGTCCTCTTCTCGGCCGTCCGTGCTGTCTCGCTTTAGGTTCTGAATGAATGCACAGGGCAAAATTTCCACAGGGCGTGCTTTTTACTGTGAATACATGGACGGTTGTTACTTTCGAAATGATATCAGAGTTTATCTTGTAATAACTGGTGTTATTCTTTTTAGTATCAGTTAACAAATTTCTTTCAGTAAAAATTGGTTTGATAATCAGGGTTTTAGACGTAAGTTGGCTGAAGGAACTTCGTTAAAAAATGTTTGCCGAGGAAAGAACTTTGAAATTTTGTTAATGAGCATAGATTTCGGTGCTCATTGGGCACGTGGACTTAAAATTGTGTTTCAGCAGTTCTAACGAGTGGGTTCAAAGCAGAATAAAATGGAACTGGTATTGATTATCTGTTGGATAATTTTAAATGATTGTGTTTGTCGAAAATTTTTTACTAGTAGTGGTAGGGAACATGGTAGTCGTTTTTGTGGAATTGTGCAGCGTTACTTTGAAAATGCAAAGATACTTTTTTGGTAGTTTTTAGCGCGGTTGAGTCAGTGTATTTGTATGCCTATCTTCTCTAAAATCTTAATTTGGAAATGGTGATCAAGGGTGATAGTAGAGAAGCCCAGAAGTACTGGTTCTTTCATTTGATTGTTCTTTAAATTTATTGAGTCTAAGCTGATTAAAAGTACCTGTTTTTAGGTAAATGTTTGAAAGAATTATTTCTATCTTCTTTCTGAATGGCTGAATTCTGGGTAAGGCATGTGCGTGAGGTATTTATCTTGAACAGGGTTAATACTTTTGAAGCCACTGTGCGAAAAGGGTTAAGTCGAGGTTTTCAGGCTAGAATTTTGCTTTCTAAATTACCAACTGCAGTATTAGCGTTTTTAACTTTTTAAAGGGCAAGAAATGGAAAGTTTGTAGGTTTTTGGTTTTCTTGTAATCGGAGGGCTGTGATTGATAGTTCTATGGGATAGGTGATACTGAATACTGGTTTTTCTCGAGCGGTCATAGGTGGAGTTCAGTTCCAGCAAGTTGTCAGGTTGTCGACGTTGGCGTTTAGGTTATGCGGTTACTTGTGTGTGAACGGATTAAGTATTTTATCAGGCGCAGGCTTTTGAACATTTACTCCTTTGTAATATTAGATCATCGAGATCATTCTAAAAAGTCTCTGGAAGTGAGTTTCTTTGAGGTTTTTTTCAAATGTGGAATTGTTAGTGTGCGGTCATTGTTTTAGCATCTGCGTTGTATGATACTTTTACAAATTATAGCATAAAATTTGTTTGTATAATCGGATGTAAAAGGGCAATTTCAGTGCTCTAATAGTTCTAGATACTTTCGGGTTATGTTTGGTTTTATGTAAGATTAATTAGCCACATGTTTTTAAAAAAGCTTATGAGTTTTTG